TGGGCTTCCTTAGTAACATGATCAATGTGACTTGGAAATCTGAGGTCACAAGTATTGAGTTGATGGGGAAGTTTTGTCACACTTTTTCTCACTCAAAATACTTGTCCATTACCTGAAGAGGGGTGAACCGGTAATGTGAGCACTTATACATCAAAGAGTGGTCTTTCTATTAGTACCACTCGCTTGACTCCTGCTTCTTCTCTTCTGCAATATGGACAAGGATTTTATCCGCTACCATCGGCACCGACCCCTCCAAGCGCTTCCTCAAACTCTTTCTTCCACCACCCTGACGCCAGCATGATAGCTGCAGATGCCAAAATAATGGAGCTGAATAAGGACGATGCAATTATCGGACAACCTTCCACGACGCTAATGCTTCAAAGCGGGAGCCTACAGTTTTATGTTACATGTGAACTCAGTTGAGGGAGCTGCGGGTCGTGAAAGTGCTGGATGAAGAAGCTGCTTCCTCGGTCAATGCGTACGCAAAGCAGCTACGAGATCTGAAGCGAATCGTCGATCAGAGGGAAAATTTGTCCGCACAGCCCGCCCTCATCATGATCGTGCAGCCACTCCGTCCAGAAAAGTTCGAGCCGTACCTCATGCAATAGAGCTGAATGGCTCTTCTCCTTGCAGTGGTGTACATGAAGTTTGGCTTCTTTCGTAACTGCAGGAGTTGCCCGTAATCGATCGTTATGCGGACGAGAAAACCTCCATAACCCAAGTTCAAGTCGAAGTTGAGATGGTGTCCAACTTTGCGTCGTGTCTCCCTGCATAGTGAAGCGATGGCTTCCATGAGGTGCCTCAAAACTGGCAGAAGGACGCGGGGAATGGGGGCGCGGCAGTGCAGGTCATGTTTAAAAATTTTGATTTTACAACGGTGCTTGTTTGATCAAGGAGAAAGCATAATTTGAAAAATGTGACAGAACTTTCCCGCCAACCTAATAAATATAGGTGCGCTTCTATCCTTAGCAATTTGTGGCACACCTCATGGTGTAAATAAATAAATAAATAAATAAATAAATAAATAAATAAATAAATAAATAAATAGAATACCAAGCTCTCAGGTTATTCGACGTGGTTACTCTGTCTCAGTGGTATGCCGTTGCACTGTACTCCTTAGCTAATCCCTTGCCTATATGTAGAACAAAGCTTTTGTCTAGATTGACTGTCAAATTCCAATGTTCAGCCCAATCATCTGCATAGTCGAGCGAGGTTCTCAGAGTTTAATATTCATCCCCACATTTCTTCTTGCACATCTGCACAACTTCATTGTACATCTGCCAAATTTGCGTTTTGACGTTTCCATAAGCTTCGAATTGTATGTGGAAGCGTATGGGTGCAAGAGTAGTGGGTTTAGGTACATATGTGGAAGCGTTAAGGGGCAAGATTACTAGCTGCTCCTCCTGACTGTAAGTGACTCCGCCTGTCTCATGCAGCGTCTGTCATTTCACTCCTTTATATGCTCTCTCACTACTCTTGTCTAGTCTTTCGCTCCAAATCTGCTCCTCTCGCATGGAACAACGAGAACATTGTTTAGGCATAATTTGACAACTTCTCCTTCTCCTTTTTTCCCATGGGTCAACTACGACATGCACTTCTGTTTTTCCACTTCCTCCCCCCCCTCTCGAGCTGGATGGCTCTTCGCTAGCCTGCTGGATGTGATCGCTTAGCGAAACTTTCCCCTGTGTTTTAGTAAGTTGCTCGAAAACTTCGAAAATGAGTATAAAATATTCTCGCCTCTCCCACGCATACCCCTCCCCAACCAGTTACCATTACTCGCCTATTTGCACAACTCATATTTTGACGTTTTCTTTAGGAACCGACTATGTATCGGAGTTAACGCCGATTGTTTTTCCCCCTTGACGTATTTTCTTCTAATTTCTCAAATTATAGCTTCAAAATAACGATTTTAAACGTTACATCAAATCCACCAGGAGCAAAACAATCAACATATATCAATGGAAATAAATGCGCTAGCTAAAATACAAACGGCATTCCTGATTGAGCAGCAAAGGAAGTTCACTAGCACTAAAATGCTTTGGAGAGATTTGGTGCGGGTTAAGAGATCCGAGTTGCGGCAGTGCTTCTGATGCTGCGTTACAAGTGCTGCTCGGGCAACGGGACGCTGTGAACATGACTCACAAATCCGACGCACAAACCGCGCTAGATCGTACGCGTCGTCGCAACTCGAGATCTCTTGTCCCAAACTCGTAGACGTCAACATGCAACATGATAGAGCGCTCATATGCCAAGGAATTCTCCAGATCACTTAATATATCTGTAAATAATTAAGATCACTAGCGTTCTTCTTTCGAAAACTTTCTAAAGTCGGCCTTCAGAAGTGCGAACATCTGAAGTGCTTCATTAAAGATCCTAGAGGAAGACGGAAATAGAGGAAGACTATTTTTTCGTTCGTGGTTTGTTCCAAGCCTCTCTATACGATTGGAAATAAACATCGTTGTCGTTCAATGTTGGTCTGGTGAGCGCTTTCAACTTCGTTTCTTTCAGCTGCTGGGACCATCGTATGGCGAGCCATATGAGAATCGGAGACATCACCGTGTAGTACGGGATAGACTGAAAACACAGTAAGAAATAAGCTACTATTTAGGCCCTGAAGCGAAACTGTAGTCGCTGCAGAGGTGTATACAGTAGTTTTTGGTTTTGCTGGGGCGTGTCAGGGAGCTGAATTGGCACAGCAACGGCACGTTCACCACCACTTGCTGAAGCGGGCAAGCGACAACAATTGGTGGGAAACGGGCTGGCAGTGCTCCAATCTCAGCTCCCCGTTGTCTAGTTGTTCGAGTTGAGAGTAGACTGAGCAAACTCACATAGGTGACCGAAGTTAACGTCACGTATGGGACCTTTTCCAAGTCTGCATGAAATAGCGAGACAACTGCGCCGCTGACAGCGAAAGCAATGTAGAAGAGGGTTTGAAATATTGCCAACGGCAGAATGATGCGGATGACGGCACGGTTTTCGAGGAGTTGATAGGATGAGTTGAGATCATAGGATTTCCTGGAATAGAATTCATTTGCAATCGCCAAACAACAGTGTAGTTCAAACACAGTACTAACCAGGGAAGTCCGCCAACTTACCATGGAACTTTGAATGGAGACCTGGGTAGATCGATAGAGTCTATAAGGTTATTTACAAATATAGATAGCAAAACTGCAACCTGCATTTCACGAGCAGGTAAAGTTTGTAATGGTGCAGTAGGGTGGAGGCTTGGTGGTGAGCTGTGAAGCATAAGCGAGGAATCGCATACGTCGAATCTTACCACTGAACCACCACGACTCGATTCGACGTATGCGATTCCTCGCTTATGCTTCACAGCTCACCACCAAGCCTCCACCCTACTGCACCATTACATTTACCTGCTCATAAGTTGCTTGTGAAATGCAGGTTGCAGTTTTGCTATCTATATTTGTAAATAACCTTATAGACTCTATCGATCTACCCAGGTCTCCATCAAAGTTCCATGGTAAGCTGGCGGACTTCCTTGGTAAGCACTACACCCGCCCCTCTCCTCCCCATCGACGACAGTATTCTGGGGAAGTCTGTCAGCCGCATAGTTATTCATGTGGAGGTCGGACTGGTATCGCCTCGTCACTTCTCTCGATGTTGTACCCTGGTCAGAAATACAGCTTTTATTACACCACCAAGTAGGAGAAGGAGAATACGCTTCATATGAGCGGGATGAGGAGGGGATGTACTTCACTTGGACATGAGGCCAGATGCTTTTTTCGTGTGATATTTCCATTCGAGACAACTGTCATCTGTCTCCCCTGAAACTTTTTCTTCCAAAATGGGAAGTCGGCCACCCGCCCACGGCAATCTACGACGATCTGGTTGAGGAGATTCCTTCCTCAACTATTCCGCATGAGACCAATTCAGTGCATGTGACACTTCCTGATCAAACGGGTCATATCTGCCCCAGAACAGCAGAATTCTTTTCGAAGTGTAGCCGGGGACGTTCAAATGGAGTACGCAGCCACGCCCATCCATTTCTGGTGTCTGGAGTATCGACGCAAGAAAACGCGGACTTTCAACAACCAGAAAAGACTTTGAGACCTTATACGGCAAATCGCCCAACACTGTTGGGCTCAGCGATTATGCCCAATGTCCAGTATGCGCCACGCATTAAACCCTCATGGTGGGAGGCTCTACTTCTTTGAAATTAACAGGCAGTGCAGGCAGGCGTGATTCTGTGGTTTGAAGGTCAATAGCTACCGCATAGCTTCAATTATAATACAGTGGATGATTCATCTCTTGAGGAATTTCTTATGACGCGGTGCTTAGAAAGAGCGAATCCCACTTGAAACCCGTTCATACTTTGGGATTTGATCACTTAGATCGCGCTATCGGACCTTTGTATCGCGCGATTCAAGCGATTGGATCGCTGAGTGCAAACGCGCTCCCTTCATCGCTATCAAAGAACACGCTGTTGTGAAGCACCAAAAGTACCAAACAAAAGAAACACTAACGACGGATCATTACCTTTTCGTAAAGAGCCGGTTCAAAATGTACAACGCTGCTATCCCAGCCAGTGTCAATAGATCGATTACACACATGATGAGTTTCAGGGTGTATACACTGTACGGTGTAGCAATTCCATTCAAAATACAGTAATTTGTCGGTTTTGTCTTGGGTGATCCCTTGAGTTACTAACAGTATAATCAACATAGAGACAATTATCTGAAAAGGTATACTTTAAGTTGAAAATAGTAAAAATTGTGATCAATGGTGTGCATTATATTAGTGGTCAAGTCCACATCTCGAAATGAAATATCTTTCATTCGTACATCGGGTTTGCCCCCTCACTTGATACGGCGAACCATTCACGTTTTGATTAAAGCGCAGGGCACGTCATACGCTGGGGAATCCTAAGCCGGTTGCCGTACGTTTGAGGCAGGGGTCGTATTTGACTGAGAAAAATTTCTGCCAATTGTTAATTTTTCCTTTTCCAAGCACGCTATTACTCTGGGAGACTCCCACAGTGGGAAGGGACTCGGATCGTAGGCAGAACTACCATATGATCGACAGCCTAATTTATTAGCTGTTCAGTGGATACTTTCCCCATCCCATCGACGGCAAAGTTCTGGGGGAGAAACTGGAAAATTTTTGTGAAATTTTGGAAGAAGGTATAGGAAGTTGGCAGAATTAGGAAGGTGGTAAAGGTTCGAAAAGAGAAGCGGGTTCGTACTTTGCAAAAATTTCCTTCAGCAACAGATGTCCCCGGTCTACAGCGCAAGCGTCTCGCTGCACAGTTGATCACCCGGGCCTTCCTAAAGCGCCCTGGCTCCAGCTGCGAGTGAAAACAAGACTTACACAGGCAATAATGGCGGTTGTTGCAAGTCCTGGCCCATATCTTTCGTAAGATTGACGTTTCCATAATGCAACTGCTCTTTCGACGACCATAGCGACCTATAATGAAGACTGATAACATAAGAACTATTGGTTACGTAATTTCGGGGTGAAAGTTGGCGCATAGGCGCCCTGATGCATGTGCGCGGTGCGGACCGCCACACTTTAACACTTCATTTACAGCTTGGTTCAGAAAACAAGTGGTGAGCTGTAGAACTTACTTGAAGTGCAGCGAAAGATACCATACAGCTCGCTATTGGATAGCGCAGAGAATAACACAAAATTGGCGACAGGCCTATGTCGCAAGGGTGAAAGGTGAAATATTGAATTAGATGAATAGTCTGAATTCGTGACAACTATCAGTACCTACTCATGCCTTCGTAACTGTTCAGCAGGAAAACAAGAAATGCGCAAAAGTTGAAAAACTGCTACAAAACACAGATGGTTTTTTCGTCCCTGACCGTGAGGGCAGGGTACAGCATCGCTCGAAAAATTGGGAGACTGTCAAGGCAACCGTGAACTGCCGCTCCGCTGCGCGCGGCCACCGATGCAACCTTTCCGTAATCTGCATTAGCCTGTCGAATAAAGCCCCGAATTTCATGTAGACTTACGACGTCGTAGACATTTATGTCTATTTTAGTTATATATTGTTACTGTTGGAATGTACGCCGCGATGCATCGTCAATTGCGACTCAACGTCGCCTACCAGCGCGGCGAGTTACGATTGTCGTTTCACACACCCGGGGAAATCGTACATCCTTTGTCGTGGGGATCCGCGCCCTCGGTTTGTCCGAAGCCTGGCGAACCCAATTCTGAATTCCCCCTCCTAGTCGGCGAAAGTGCTAATTGATTCAAATTATTAACCTGTTATCCTCCAACGTTCTGGCAAATGTGAAGCCTCGCATTTCATAGAAAAGTGCGCGACTCACCGGTTTGATCTCGGAGTGTATGAGCGGCACAGCCCGCTATAGTCAATATTCAGGAGCGGAATTCCTGCAGGATGAATGAACGGAGACGTCCGTTCCGATGTGCAGAATTCCAGGAAATCTCTTTTCGCAATCTTCGGCATGATACCCCAGCAAGGCCCCTTGTCACTCTGAATTTCCATCGCTGACAGGGACCACTGAAAGTCTTCAGAGCTGGACCGCTTGAACGCTCACACAGAGGTAATGGTCGGTGAAAGGCAGCACCTCACGGAAGCCAACGCCTTTCGGCCCATTTCCATTGCTGCCAAACCCTTGACACACATTTTCATCGCCAGAGCTTAGAGATCAAGCTGCAAATGAGATCGTTAATCTTAAACCTCCTTCGCTGAAAGCGAAAACTGTTGCTGACAAGCACGGATAAATTAGCACGTTCATTAGTGCCCACTTATTTGCAAATGTTTTCCTTGCTTGTTATTGTTTTTCGGATGTCTAAGAGTCATGCTAGGGGCGCCAATGACGGGATGGTCACACATCACCTTCCGAAATAGAAACTTGCACGTGGTCGTTTGCTGCACAGCCAGAAAGTAATCCCATCACGATTCAAGATGGAAAATAGCATGTGTGGCCATAATTTCGAATCCGTTGTGAACTTGGCACGACTACGTCTCGCGCAGCGTTGCAGAGCTTCGGACCCAAGGTATAACGAACGCTCTGAAGTGCTTCTCTCAGCTCACGATCGAAGTCCTTCACCAGTCCTCTCCCACCATCATGAAACTGTGGCCCACTCACACCACACCACACCACCACACCACAGCGCCACACCTTAAGGTCTACTGTTTTTGAAACAGCACTAAAGGCGTAGTAGTGTGCTGGAACTTGGAGCTCTACGAAAAGAAGATCACGAAGGGGACGTCGGAGAAGCCCTTAATAGGACCCTTCCAGCCTCAAACAATAGTACGGGTGAAGGGAAAAACTCATGTTAGGATCGGCTGATACCTTATAATGAACCCTTGACATCACGCGAGACAATGCGCATCCACTTCATGGTGCTTGTCCTTCAGCATCGATTCTGGCAAGAATGCGGACTTGGAAGGTGGAATCTGGAGGTCACTTGAGGGGAAACTGGAAAAAGGGAGGTGTCACTGGAGCAATTTTGTGCCCCAACTGTCCTAAATCCTCTACCTTACAGCTTCCAGCCGCAAGACTGGCACATGGTTATGCAATGCGGACCACATACCCTTCCCACACAATCCTTTGCATTTTCATAGGTCATCACGGACCGTTCTCTTAAGACAATCCCCGCGATCAAGTTTTGCGGGTAGTTGGTGCTCAGTCAAGAAACGTGACCCATGCGTAGCTTCTCAGTACGAAAAGAAGCGAGAAAAAAAATCTGAAACACCCTGAACACAGACCGCCCCTTAGCAATGGGGGCAGCGGACGAGTATGTCGGACGTGGGCGACTTCGGTCGCATCTACTCCTTCAACGTCCGCGCGGCATGTGTCGCGCGCGGCGCTTCTGGCATTCTGCCATCTTTGGTAATCCGCGCTTCCATAGCGATTATAGCGCAAACCTAGCGGCGCTGGACTTGAGTTGGAGATCGGTTAGTCTGTTGAAGAGTTCTTAGCCTTTGCAATCGCCAAAAAATGCAAAAAAGTAGGATGTAAACTAAAGTGCAGCGAGCCTTTCTTGAATTCCATATTTTGTAAGCGATAAGAAGGAAGTGAACTGGAGAGCAGTAAGCCTTTCTTGAACTCCGCAAAAGCGATTCCATTCAAAAGGACGAGAAAGCATTTGTATGTACAGGGGGCCAAAAAAAGTCATTCCGGCCGAGTCACATATGAGCGAAGTTTTCGCAGCCCAGACAGAGGAAGTGGATATGAGTACCAGGGCGGAAGATACCCAAGATCTTCCTCTATAAGCAGGAGCCGGCTGCCGCCCCTTCATGTACACCAAAATATGAAGTCATCTCCAGTCGCGGCCTGAGTGGAGAACGCCTTTGGAATTCACGTGGCCTCCAAACAGCTGCGGAACTTCTTGAATGGAATCACCCATGGATAGCTACCTGGAGACCAGTACTCTTGATCTGCAAGACCTCAAACATCGAGCAGCTCCGGCAACGTCGCTACGGTCCAGGACATCATCTTCACCCCATTCACCAAGGCGCGGGTTGATGGTGTGGACCGGCCGTACCTGGAATGGATGAACCGATATTTTCTTCGTGGGCCCCAGACTGAGGGTGTGCGCTGGTGGCTACATCGAGCAACTCGAGGAGAATATCCCATCTTCATG